TTTTAGCTAGACTCATATAAAAGATGTAAATAAAAGATAAAGTAAGATAAATAAAACAAAATGGAATAAGATATAGATTAAAAACATCCAGCACAGGTAAAACTTTCTTTGTTCCAGTAAACTGCCCTGAACTCTGAGATAATTAACACTAAAGCTTTGGGGGCAAGATAAAAACAAATAAAAGGTTTAACTAATATTGTTATTACTAAATTTGGAAGAAGTTTCAAACTATTCCTAATAAGCTCTTATCACAGACCCCTAACATCCTGGATAGAAATTGTTTCAACTTCTCCCCTCAGGATACCACTATAGGATACCACTGAATGCCAAAACAACTAGACACAAAGACAATATTTTCCTCCATGCCATCACTCTGCTAAACACATAATTCGCATGCTATTATCTTATGCCTAAGGATATCTAATCATCTAGTAGGACTGTTTTACTATTATCTCCGGGTGCGATTCAAGGTGTTGGTCGCCACCTTTAAAGTGCTCCATGGCATAGGATTTGGGTACTTACGAACCGCCTTCTGCCTCCGATAGCCTCCCATCGACCAGTATGCTTTCACAGAGAGGGTCTCCTCAGGACAGTGGGTTAGACAGTGTCGACTGGCGACCCCCAGGGGGAGAGCCTTCTCTGCCCTCTGGAACGAGCTGCCCCCGGAGATTCGTCTGATTCCCAACCTTCGTAACTTTTGCCGCGCCCTTAAAACACTATTATTCCATCAAGCAGGGCTGGCCTAAAATATTATTTTAATGGGTTATTTTATTTTAGATTATTGGTCAAACTATTTAATAATTTTAAATTGTTTTTAACTTTTATATTGTTGATTTTTTATCTTGGCTGTACACCGCCCTGAGTCCTTCGGGAGAAGGGCGGTATAAAAATTTAAATAAATAAATAAATAAATAAATAAATAAATAAATAAATAAATAATAAATAAATAAATAAATAAATAAATAAATAAATAAATAAATAAATAAATAAATAAATAAATAAATAAATCTTTCTGTAACCTTTCCTGTTACTTCTCCTATTGGTTTATTATGTCTATCTATCACTTGTTGGTTGTATCTTATGATTTATGATTGCATCTTATGATTTATGATTGCACTACAGCTTTGTCTGAAGAAGTTAAAATACAACTTAAAATAGAGACTGACTAACCATTGCTAGGAACAGCCTGATGGGAACATTTCACCATTTTTGCAGTCTATCTTGCTGATCTCAGGTTGGAGGGGGAGGAGGGAAGGATGAATTGTTTCTTACAGTCAAGAATTACATTATTAATATATTCCATTAACACCATGCTAATGTCATGTTAATTTCTGATCATCATCAAATCCGACAATGGTTGCCATTCTGGCAACTAGCCAATTAGGTATATGGAATAATATTCACCCAATTATGTTACTTGAATTAGGTTAAGGACTCAAGAGGAAGCAAATAAATGCTTTGAAATTATTTCAGAGATAAAATGTAAGTTGACACTGTCTTCGTGTGCTATACAGGATGTTATACAGTATGATAGGCAGCTGCCAACATTCATCACTGTTTATGAAATCTAGCTGTTCTTTATGATGGCAGCCAAGATCCATATTTCCCCCCCAATATTTTGTTCATTGTGTTAGGAGGAAAAGCAAAATAACTGGGATCAAGAATACTGGGCTTATAAAAACATATTACACTGAATATATTAAATTGTTAAAATTGCATCCTTCCTCCTAAAAGAAAGTTTCATATTGAAGAAAAAGGAAAAAAATCTAAGTTTACTTGGGTGGTTTATCAATGTGCTACAGTAATATCAGAAGACTGACTTCTTTTCAGTATTAGCACAGATTTTGTGTTCAGACTTTGCATTTGGAAGCTAGGGAAGAGTGAAAATAATTACAGATGAAATTGATTAAATTTCTTTTTCTCAAAATAGATTGCCCATCAAAATAGATTACAAGTAGTTTAAAGACATAAACAATTAATCAGAACAGAAATTCTATCCTGTTAGACCTGACCTTGAATACCACATCCAGTTACGAGCACTGCATCTTAAGAAGAATTCAGACCAACTGGACCAGGTGTTAAGAAGGGTAAGAGGAATGACTAAAACAGAAAATTAAGTCATTCAGAGCAGAATCTGAGTGAAATGCATATGTTTAACCTTTAAAAGAAAGGACTGGGAGGAGAATAGGGATATGACATTCCTCCTCATGTAACCAAAAAGAAGGTTATGTAGACAAAGACTACAAGTTATTTTCTATCATGATCTGAAGCACATGTAATCATGAATTTAAGTTACAGGAAAGCAGTTCCTGGCTAAGGTTAGTAAAAAGCTGCCTCTTGCACTGGCAATTAATAAAGGCCAAGGACAGAGAATAAATGATGTTGGATTTTAACTGTAAGAATCATATGATTGATATAGGAATGTCCAGATTCTCATCATTTGGAAACATTAAACTATAACCTTATTCACAACTATACAAGGAAGGTTACAGGAGTAAAAGAAGTATATGTATTAAGCTACTGTCGAAGAACATTTGACACTTTTTTTTTAAGAATGTAGAATGTAACAGGATATAAAACAAACATAGAAATGCTTTATTTGCTTTTCAAATTAAAACAACACATTCATTTTTAAAAATTCTAAACATTTTGTAGAAAATATTACACTCCTGTTTGTTAATATTCCTGTCTTAAAGCAATGAAATCTTCTTACCCAGGTACTTCTATTTGTTTGAGTTAATATATCTGTTGTTCCGTGAAACTTTCTATTCATTCAATTTTCTAGCTGTCTGTCCAACACACTGTTCTGTTTCTCTTTTATCATACATTATAAGAAATTTCAGATCTGATGTGACATTTTTCTCAATAGATTCTATTTATATATATTAACTTTTCTCAAGTGCCTCTTCTTATTATGCCACGTACAACAGGGGACCTTGGCAGATAAAACCTGAGACCTACAAACATTAAAAAAACTTTTAAAAGTAAAAGCAAAAAGCAGTATGTTGTAGCTCAAGCAATCTTTGGGGCATAGAATTCTATCAGAGTAGAGGGAATAGATGCAAATTAGGGATTTTTTAAACTGTGTTTTGCATGAAAAACCAAATGGAGCTTCATGATAGACCTAAGGGCAAAAACAAACAAAAACTTGACTTAAGCAGTCAACTTGCCTCTTGGTCAGGGATATTTTTTTAAACTAACAGGTTCCACAGCTTGAAAAGTTTGAAAATCTGATCTAAATCCCATAGAGGAGGGTGTGGTGGATTTACTGAACAGTAATCAAAAGCGTATCAAGATCTCACATGTTTCTGTACATTATAGATATTTATCATAATTATAGCAGTCTTCTGAGTGTTTACAGTATTTCTTTTACTTATTCAGCCAATAATGTATCTTGTAACACAGCTTATTTATTAGTATTCTGGTATTTCAATGGTCAAAGGTATATTTGTCTAATATAAAGGAGCTGCACAGTACACTTTGGACCTTCCTACAATTACTTTTATTAACAACCCAGAATATCTGAGGGGTATGTGTGTGTGTTTGAAGAGAAATACTGCATAGACATATGCACATGCATACTGAATATGTGTTTGCAACAAGGACACCCTGGGACAATATGTGTGAATATAGACTCACATAGGCTGCCAATGTGTCTGAATGTATTTTTATCCTCCCCCTCTAACCACACTGGGACAGCAATGCATTTTTTTATTCGGTTATCAACCCTTAGATCAAAAAAATTTTAAAAAGATAAACAATCAACCAATACTGAATGAATATGAATTGAATATAAAAGTATGATCAGGATGAAAAGTATGTTGACATGATTTAACATTATAGAGAAAATAAATGAGCATCAATGCAAAGCAAATATGCAAAAAAAAAAGAAGAAGAAGAGTAGGTGTTCTAGAAGAAGGTAAATATCAAGAATTTTGTGGTTGGAAGGAATTTGATCCTCAGAAAAAGTTGAGAAGTTGAAAAAACAAAAGGCAATATGTGTGTAGTGCATTGGTGTAAACCATATTTTGCTGTCTTTTCATTTCTCTTCTTATTTCACCTGTCTAATTTATTTGGCTTACTCATTCTTTTCTTTCTGCTCTTTAGTCAGTGCTCCTTACCCTAAAACGGAAAAGCACAAAGGTTATGTATGCATGTATGTAAAAAACCAGTTTGGAATTTTACTTAAAAGCATGACTATGTGCTCTTTGGAACTGAATTTTACAACCATAGAACTACACACTTTACTAGAAAGAGAAAGTATTTGGAACTTTTGAAACCATGGATGAAAGAATGCATTTTAGGATAGAAGCAAAATATTGATAAAATTCAAAATGTATACAATATTCATTTTCATTGTATTTAATACCTGAACTTATTTTACCACATTTTTAATTAGTGTTACCAATGGAAGTATAAGTTACAAAAACACAAAAACAAAACTCCAAAACTCTATAGAGTCTCTTAATTTTGACAATTTGACAAGTTGGCAAAATAAAGCTTTAAAAGAAATCAAATTATCAACATGATGGTGAAAGTTAAACTTCTCCATATATACACATTAATAAAAGAGATAGGAACAATCAGAAAACAGATCACTGTGTACATGTTTTGTATTTAGGAAATGTGTATTCAATCTATTTTGTGAACTTTCATTACTCACAGTATTGTTTCTTCTTAGGCTGATATTTAAGTTTTGCCCTCATGATTTTGAAAGGAAAGATTTGCACAAATTGTGATTGTTCTCTATACTTTTATACATTAGCACTTACCTAGGAAACATAGTATTTTTCCTCATACAAATGATTAGAAAACATATGAAGGAAAAAACATAGCAATATATTTGTCTTATATTTATTATCATGTAAAATATTTCATTTTTAAAAAACATGTATATTGTACATCCAACAATATTCTTGGGGGAATAAGAATAAAATTATCAGGCATTTTCCAAGGTTTGCCAAGTTTTTCACATTTCTGTCATTATATTACTGACTCACCAGTTTTCCTTCTGGAAATTATTCATTCATGGCTGAGGATATCTTGCAAGGGATTCGTCCCCTTTCCTCTCAAGCATATTCACAAGCAAAAATCCCTCTGAAAAAAAAACCACGGAATCTGAAACAAGGAAAACCACCGTGTCAGTGAAATAATTCTTTTTCTGAGACAGGAAAAACATAACTGTAACACATTTCTTCTGAAACGTTCAATTAAACCATTTTGCCTCTCTCTTTCAATAAACAGAACCAAAATGTTAAAGATCTTCAAATATTAAAGTTAAGATAGAAAAAAAAATACGTAAGATAATTTCAATCCTACTAACAGTAGTGGAAATGGCATGAATGAACTTAGCCGAAGTCCAGTCCAGTACTTTCTTACTTTGATATCCAGTAAAGTTATTGTTATAGGTTTATTGTAAAAACAAAAGACAATCTAATTTAAGAATGTCATAGTTAATGAAAAATCCCAGCGAATGATACTAGGATGAAACTGACAATCACCACTGTCATGTCAGTAACAAAGACCTGTCAATGTAATAATTTTCAACAATCTTAGGAAATGCACAAAAGTTGAGGTATACGTCCTCATAGCTCCCAATCAAATAAACAATTCCAAACACTATTTACTACCCATTCATTTTAATGTAAATCTTGCAGGATCAAATTTAGATCTTGGTCACAAAGTGAATTTTTGGCACTTACAGAGGATTCTGCAACATTCAAAAGGGCAAAATATTCAAAACAATTCTTACATTACTGTATTTTTTACCCACAGAGCAGGAAGTTGACATAAACACTCTGCATCTCCTAATATCTACAATGTCACAGTTGCCTCCATGTGCTAGAAGTTTTATGAAGTGGCATTGAATATATTTGTTTCTTTCTAGGGTCATCCCTGTATCTGTCATCTCCTCCAGTCAATTCAATGAGTACAAATGATAGCAAATCCAACTCCTACACTACTGATATGAATGCAAAGGTCCACCCATAGCAAATTCCACATCCCACATGCTTAAGTTCTATAGTTAAAACAATGCCTTCCAGTTACATTCTTTGTCATATCGTGACATCATGACAGAAACTAATGCTGTAATTAACAGCGTATTCCAGTTCAATAAAGACTCTGCAATTGAAGTTTATCTACACTTTCAACTCCAACCAAGAGCCCTGCTGGTAAGTAAACCTTACCATGCCTTTGGTTTCTAGAGTTTTTTTAAAGCCCATATCAATGTTTACCTGTAATTTTGCAAGTTGAAATAATTGTGTATTTTGTCTTTTAGCTTGTCTTAATTTTGTTATTTTACACCCACATCTGTTTCCCATTTTTAAAAGATGAATAAAGACCCAATTAAATATAGTAAAATTACAGACTTGAAACCATGACTACAAACTGCATATTGCTCAGATAATGTTCTGTACAATTCATCATTTTAAGACATAGAATGTTTAATCACAGTCTATAGAATAAAGCCATCACTGTCTAATTCCTACAAGCCATTAATAAAGATGTAAGCTGCTATGGCTGGGTCACTGAATATGCTAAGCCAAAATCATATCCATCAAATTTTGTCAGGCACGAAGAATCAGGACCACACATTAAGTTCCAGTTAAGCTGATTTACTGCTCATGCCTATACACAAAGTCAACTAACGGTCAGCACTAAATTGGTACTAGATAAGATCTAACGAAACTCAAGAGGGTTTGGATTTGGAAAGCTTGTGGGAACATAACTCCAAGCTGCTTCCTCTCTTAACTCTACCCCCAGGCTTTGCCTCTCCTACAAATTTTAACTTACCACAATTTGTAAACCCAGCCACTATGGAAGAGAGGATATTGACCAAATGGAGGTGTAACAGGACTTCTATAAAAACGCTATTTTAGGTTTGAGATAAAATGATGTTCATTTACCACTCAGAATTAAGGCTGGTTTGTTCCAGCATTGTGATTCTTTTATGACAAATACATATTAGTGGAATTGATGCTGATGCATGACTTATATAGGGATTTTTGGCAAATTGTCGCTTATAAGGCCCATAATTTGAAGTTTTAAAAAGTTTCATCATATAACCAAAACATGCTCTTTAATTCTGATCAGGATGACAAATGTTTATTCAAGTACAATTGTAGGCAGGATTTCGTGGGCCAGTGTAAAACATATTAAACTGCAACACAAAACTTTCCATATTATGTAGAACGCCACACCAGCTTACGGTAAGGGTTAGGGTATCCATGTAAACTCTGAAGGAAAACAGGTAGAAGGGACAATCAACTCATTATATTAGACTGAACTTAAAGATACAGGGAATATAGTATTACTAACTTTTATACCATGTGGAGCAGATGACATCATCATACATCTCTAAGTATATATAATCAATATAGACATATACTTGATGGAAAACAGTCAGCTTATTAATGTTGAGACCTTGTTTGAAAAAAACAACTGATTATGTGGAGCAGGTGGAACCCCCAGATCAAATTTAAGTGCATGTCTGGGAATCAATCCTCAAAAACAACCCGTGTGTTCAAACAGGTTAGGAGATGATCAAATATACTCTATTTTCTTGTTTACTTTCTATCTTCAACAATCCCCACTTTGTTCAAATGTCTACAGGGAATCTTGAATGGAGCAGCTGCAGTATCCCCCAGGCCAATGCATCAGGTTGCTTACAAAACAATCCTACTACCAAGCAACAAAACAAAACAATGCAGTACAACTTTGAAAATGCCTTTGAAACCTACATATTCCTCAAAATAGATTTAGAAATATAAATAAATAAAAATATTACTTTAATATCATTAATGGTTGTCCTGTAAAGAATGAAGATCAAGATTGTTTTGGAGCAAGTTGTCTATGACAAATGGCCAATACAGAAATATAACTTCATGTTCTTGCTGCCTATGGCTCTTCTATAATTCTTGCATCCCATTGGGCTATAGGATTCCTTGTTTTGCAAAACAAGTTATCCAGCAGTGTATAAAGAAACTTCAATTCCCCCTTCTCATCAGACTTTTACTCTTAAGAAACAGAAAGTAAACACAGATAGCATATCAAGTCATAACAGGAAGGCACTTCAAGAGCTTTACCACAAAATGTTACATTTTGAGCTGTTATCCACACTAAATTCCACTAATGAGAAGAAATTTATGTAGAGCTGTTGTATACCATTTGGTAAACTTTTCTTTCCAAAAAATTCAGTAAATAAGAAACCTAAATGAACTTATTCTCATTATTTGTATGTTTATGATTAGTGCAGTTGAGACCAAAAAGAGTGACTGGCTGGAAATAACAAAACCTTTCATTTTCAAAAATACACAATTGTGCTGCAGTATATTACTATGGGTAATCTTCGTATTCTCTTCTTCTTTGCTGTGAGATGCTGGACCAGGAAGTGAATTTAACATTTAGAATACTTCATAAGCAAAGAAATGTTATTTTTTTTATTAAAAAAGAAAGGGGGGGGAGAAGCAAACAATGATGTTTGTTTACCTTTTAGACTGCAGAGTTAAAATAATCAAAATCACTCATAACTTACAGCACCTGAACAGGAATGACTTCTTTACTGTGTTACAAAATAAATATTGAATTAGGATGAGGTTGTTTGCACTGTTTAGGTGGAGTCTGAGGAATTAAGCAACGATTCCAGAATTGGATGTTCTTTGAACTGGTTTGCTGACAAAATACTGAATTCAGGTAGAACACCTTTTACAGAAGAAGAATCTTCCAGAATAGTCTTGTCCATTTTCTGGAGTATCCCACACCTTCTCGAACTACAAAACAACTCGACATATCTGGGAAGCATCATCTTGGGGAAGGCTCTTCTGGAAAACTGGGCTGGGTAACTATTTTTCTACTTAACTCTCTGAGGTAATATGTAATAAAACTAATATTGATAAAAATGGAAAAAGTGAAAGAAAGGAGATAGAAAGTAATGGGGCAAGTTTATATAAAGTAGTTTATTATTCGAATTGAAAGCAGTTTTGCTCTTAGTTCTTCTATTATAAAGAAATATTAGAAGGCCACTAAATGAAAAGGCAATATATGTATAAACTGAGTTTGGTGTTATAATATTGGATGTCCAATACCCATGTTAGTCAATCAAAATGTGTTTCCAAATATGTAAATAATACAAAGCTAGCATGCCACATCTCTGTGGTTTTCCTTATCTCTAGGGAAAGTCATCCAAAGAGCACTTCTGGCCTCATGTGATTTCTAATGTTGCCAATACAAACAAGAAGTATACAGAGGAAGTATTTAAAATGTCTACATTCTGGCAACACAGGTAATATTCTAAGCCACTTGGCTACAAATGTCTTTGAACAATGCAGCCATAGAGAAAATCTTGTCTGATTTTTTTTTCATGCTTTGTTCAAGAATCTCTGCTTGGGGGAAAAAACCCCAGTCATTTATCATCCATGTCTACTCTCTCTGATACCCAGATTTATCATTCTTCATATGGTAAAAATATTTATCCTTTAGCAAATTAAGGGAGGTGATATAGAAAAGAGAAATGTTTAAATAATTATGCAATTTAGCCTTGCAAAACACACACACACACACACACACACACACACAAACAATTCCAGTACTATATAGAACTAGCTTTGCATTAAAAATAGAAGAAAGTCGGAATAGCCACTTTACCAAGTCCTCATAACAACTAATTACAAATAACCTAATATAGAACAGAGGTAATGACACTGAAATATGAATCAGAAACTACTGGATTAAAAACTACTGAACTTTTTGGAATATAACATGCACTTCCCCCCACCCTAAAAGTAGGTGAAAATTGTGGTGCGTCTTATACACAGAATGTTGCCAAAGCCCCATCCATCCGCCGGCCCCAACCCTTCGGCTGTTTTCGGCCTTTGTGGGTCACATTTTTGGCCGGTTCCAGCCGGCGGGGATTGGTGGTGGGGATTGGCGGCAGCAAATGGGCCACACGGTAAAAGGGTGGCGGCGAACGAGGTGCATCGAATGGGCCACAGCAGCGGCAAATGGGCCGTGGCAAATGGGCTGTGCAGAACAGCCGCAGCGGCGGCGAGCAGGCCACAGCAAATGGGCGGTGGCAAACAGGCCGCACCAGCAGCGAACGGGTCATGCTGAACGGGCTG